TCCACTTAGGCACTGTTGATACCTTTTATGATCTCGTGTAGTGGCTACCACACACTAAGAGTCTGAAGGAGCAAACTGGATTCTGATGAGTTTATTGTGCATGAGATTTTAATGATGTATTTAAAGCGAATTTATTCAGGTTCCACATTCTCAGTCCTGAGGCTAAAATGCTTCTGTTTTCAAAAATCAATCCTATAAAATTCTATAATCCGAAACTCCATGCAAGAAAATCTAAAGTGGCCGAGGAAGAGTTTTCTAGCTCCTGGCCTCTAGTGAGTTGGACATTGTACATTGGTCTACACATAAAACTTTATAATCATTAGTTCTCCTCTGATAAGCTTGGGAAGGTATCAGAGTGCCACTTAAGAATATTAATCTTTTAATAAATGCTGGCAATTTGGCTTCACCTCATCTCCCTCTTCAGCTTGTGGTTAAATACTTTAAAAAATTTTTTTAAAAATAGACAATTTATAAGAAAAAAAAATATAAACACTCTTTAAGCAATTTGGCTATAAGCATTAGGTCACTGAAGAACTCCACAAGAAATGGTAAATACTTTGAATGGACATAAACTCTTTTCATTTTTTTTTTTTTTATAACATTAGCTAAAATCTTATTTCTTTGTGTGTTGTGTTGGTATTGGACTTTATTTGATAGTTTATTGCTTCTGAGTCTTCTTGCCCTTCTTTAGATTATAGTTGTAAAACAGAGGCGCTGTCCTTAATTATGTTACAAGGTAACATCATCACTTTGAGACCTAGGAATGACAGATAGGCCCACTGTGAGTTCAGTGGCTTCAGAGAGACTAGGGAGAGGACAGCAGTCAGGCCTGTACCACAACACACAAAAGAATAAGTCTCCTGGCTTCGGCAGGACACTTTGGTTTGGAGGATGAGACAGAAAATTCTTAAGTGTAGCTTAGCTGCTGCCTCACATCTTTTGCATAATATAACATTTTTAAAAACATGCTATCAATAAAGGAATAAAGAGTATAACCATATAGTGTATTGGCTCTTCTCCTTGGCATTCTTGCCGCAGGTTTCATCTAGGCTGATGTGAGAAACAAGTCTTAGCAAGGCTACTAATGAACACCATGTAAATTTTCCTGGTGCAAATATTCTGGAAAGTATTTTAAATGATGCAGCTCAGAGCCCTGGAGGGAGGATGAGAGTGAAGGGGAGAGCAAAGGCAAATTTGAAGAGAGGGGAAAGGTGAGAAAGAGAAAGAGAGAAAACGGATCACAAATGCTAAAGTGCAATTTCAAAATATAAATTATTTGAAACGCAGATTCTAGGTGGCTACTATTCGCATAGGCATGGTTTGATTCAAATTTAAATGGGTTGTTTTCCTTTCCCTTCTCAGATACACTGCATAATGGAGTTTGAATGGCTTAAAGCTATGGCACATTGTTGGGGAAGGGACAAAAAGAACTCTAAAGAAGCTGAATAGTGCAAGACATTCTAGGACATGCGGTGGAGAGAAAGCAGAGATGAAGTTGTTTTTACACTTTGACAAGAAAGCTGTTCCAGTTATAATTACTGACTCCCTTTTGCTGAATTCTGCTTCCTAACGAAAAGGGCTTACTTTATAAGTAAAAAAAAAAAAAAAAAATTTTAAACAAAAAAACTTCAAGACATAGACTTAAAAAATCCCCCCCAAAAACTCACAGAGCAACAAAAATCCTGGAAATAGCTATGCATAAAGATCTAAGCAAACATTCCCACGAAGTAATGAAGAATAGCAATTGAGACCCTGACAAATGAAGATATACAAGTAGAGTAATTTATTATGAACTAACACTTTAAAAACAAGTTGATCCTACAGAAGAATAGTGTTCAAATGGAATGTTTAAAAATAACATTTATTAATAAATACCTTATAAAATTCTAAATTAATAGATTCCTGTTCAAATTTTGCTTTGGTCCTTGAATTTCACTGTATACATACATACATACATACACACACACATATATATATATTTAGATGGTTTTTATTAATGAGAACTTTCTATCCTAACTGGATGGTTAGTTTTATAGCAATTACTGGTGCTGAGAACTCCCAGACAGATGGGTCTTTTACTGCAGTTGGTTTATGATTTTAATGACAAGCTCAACGAATCCGCTAAAATGTATGTAACAGATAAAAACAACCACCTGGGCATTCATCACTGATGCTTCTCTGATCAGAATATGGGCTGCATTTTATTTCATTGGCTGAATAGGTTCTGAAGAACATTTGCTCTAAGTAAATCAGTTGGCTTGCCTAATTAGTATAACTCACATAGTCCTCAGACTACTTGTCTCCTACAGACTGTAGCTTGCATAGATGGATTTGTGGGTAAGAGAGGAATAAGTAAGAGTATAAAGAGAAAACATTTGACTTAACACCCCGCTTTAAAATTAGTCCATTCATTCATGACTAGGATTTTCACTATACCTGTTCTGGCATCAGATGTTGAGAAATTTACCAAGGAGAAACAATTAAGATGTGGACGCTTCAATTTAGTTGACGATTCTCCCAGCAGCAATGCTATCAAGTGGAACTATCTAATTTGTTTACTCCCAGGGGAGTAAAGGCAGGGGAGGCACCATACAAATTCCTAGGTAGGCTGGCAGTGATTTCAGAGGCTGATCCTGGCGATAACAAAGACACCACACATGAATGAAGAGGGCGTTCCTTAGGATTGGTGTTCTGAAATCATTCTAACAGGATTCATGAAAATATAGATGCCCTGTAATGGGTTACAGCAGACTGTTCTCTGCCCCAGATAGTACTAGGTCCAGGACAGGGCAATGTTGTGGTCTGTTGTACATGGGGTCGTCATGACCTAGATCCTACTAATAATAACAGCCTAGCAACTAACTGGTCACAAGAGGAGAATGTGGTAGACAGGAGATACTCATTCTCCCAGCTTGGAAAAAAATCACAGAGCAAGAAAAGATTTTCTGGATATTCTGGAGTCTGGTAAAGGGCAGACCTTGAAGAGAAATACCTCATATTGATAAAGTGATTGTTGGGTTTGGCCAATGAGCCTTTCTCTTTGGGATTTCAAGAAAGCGCTGACAACTGGCTGGTCTCTTCCACTTAGTGTTATTTCCACACTGCTAATGAACCTACCTAAAGGCCCGCAGTATAACAAGAAGACAGTTTATTCTAATTATACGTTTAGGCCGGTTTGCTAACGTGTGTGGTTGGCTTGCCTACTTAGCATAAAAAACAGACATAATTGAGCTATATATAATGCACATCAGTCAAACTGTCAAGATGCTGAATTAAGAAAACTCAGGCAAGTTCTTAACTGCAGAGGCATTCAGTTAAACAACGAAATATTTTAATCAAGAGGTGGAGTCCAAGTAAACTAAACCACAATTTTGGTGACAGGCCACTCCCAGCACATTCTGATATTACCAGTGGATTAAAAAAAAAATCCATTTCATTAAGTGCTATGCATCAGTCAAGAAAAAATGTTTTTGTTTGCTTAAAACAAAGCTAAATATAAAATACAATTAAAAAAAAAATTAAAGCCCAGACAAACATTTCAATGCATTCATTTTCCTTTCTTTTTGGCTGCAGAAGACCCTGGGGAGTTTTTGAAAAAATAAAATGACTTGCAATTTCAACATAGAGATAAGATGGTTGACTTCTAAAAGCTAAGCCTTAAACATAGTTTAGGAAGCCACATTCAGGTCATATGATTCCGTTTTTTACTGCGGGGATTAAAAAAAATTTTTTTTTCCATTATGAATTCAGTATTTAAAGTACTTGAAAATGGTAACTGTGCCTAAAATATAATAGAAAATCCTTCTCATTTGTATTTTTTTTTCTTTCTTTTCATTTTTTACTTTTTCTTTGAGGCTTAGAGCATATATCAAAGTCAGAAGCTTCCCTGAACATTTCTTTGAAAAGCACTAGATATATGGAAGGTCTCTTGATAAATATTTATTTTTAAAGTAAATTATTAGATAAACTGAAACTAGTTATAAAAAGTATGCTTCATGACCCTCATACTCACTTTTTTTCCTTCCAAAATAGTTTTACACTAGAATGAGAAGCAACAACACATCCTTCCTTTATTTGAACTCTTATAAAAGCTACACCTTTTTATAAAATACTGTTCTTTTAAAATCCATGGAAACACACACACACACACACACACATTGGATGATCAAGCATTCAAATGGAGATGAAATGCCAGCACCTGTCTAGACAGCTTGAGGGAAACATTAGCCCCTGCTATTACTGAGATGCAATATTCAACAGCACAGTAGAATGGCTTGTTCCAAAGGAGGCACAACTGCGGTTTGGGGACTATCTGCTTTTCATAATGGGCAAGTCCATGTGAATTGTTAAAAAAATAAATTAGGATTATTTAGAAGGGAAGAGTAGCCTGCGCCTTGCCCAGGGGATTCCTATAGCAGCCAAAGGGTTCTTGACTAGCCATGGAGGGCTGGAAGCACACCTAGGAAAATACTGAGCCTTCTTTCTTTCTTAGTTTTCCTAGTCATGAGTCTACTTTCACCCATTAGAACAGCAAAGCTGGTTCCATAGGCTTAAGGAAAAAATAAAAGAGAAAGAAACTTTACTATTAGCAGCTAATTAGCTATTAGCATCTGATGGCTGGACAATGTAATTTGTGTAGTGAGTAGAGCCTGTCTGAATTATTATGTAGTCTGTGGATTTTCAACATTATAAACAGGCCATAGTAAACCAGTTGTAGTTCAGGGGTGTGATATTCTAGTCCGGTATCATCATGTGGACGGTCACGATCTGATCTGGGCTTACTGAGCCATCATCCCTGGCTTCTCCACAGCTGGCATCAACAGTGCACATCTGTAGTCACAACGCTACCTTTGATTGGCTCTGATGATTGAAAACATGAAACCAGGAACATTAAAAATCGCCTGGTTTCTATTTTATAAAAAAGTAGGAGTGGAATGAACCCCACTGTGTGGCACAGGGCAAGTGCTAGATGCACATTTTTTGAGAAGTTTGCTTCTTTCTTTTTTAAACATTATTTCTTCTTTAGATACAAAGCTAAAGGGAAAAATAAAAAATAAAAAAAAGAAGATAGTCAAAATGAAGAGTAAATAGGCCAAGGCAAAGTGGAAATGGAGAGGAAAATTGGACATTTGAGCAAGTGGAACGAAAGGAGGAGAGGTGGCAAGACGCTTGGTAGTTTGGTTTGGACATCAATGGGTCTTAGAATTTTTTGTAGTAAAAGGAAAAAAACAAAAACAAAAAAACATTGTGGGAAGGCTCTGTGTTTATCTGAGATACAGGCGATGTAACTGCCCAAACTCAACATATGTTGTGATGTCATTAGACTTCCCAGCCAGTCACCTTGGAGGGGCTTACTTGACATCTCAGTATGCCTTGTTTTGGCTAAAAGCTGCAGTTTAACAAGATTCACTGTTTCAGGCAAAGGGGTTGGACTGGTAAGAATGAAACCAGGACTATATACAGAAAGAGTTCCATTTATAAACAAGTAACTGGTACCAGAAAATTGGAGAAAAGCATCAAAGCATTTCCCAAGCTGATAGGTATTAATTGCATAACTCCCTTTTTTCTTATATAACTAAGTATAAAAGACAACATTTCCATAGTAACTATAAAAATGAAAGGCAGTCTTTGAAGGGCTGAGGAGTCTTCTGGGTGGGAGAGAATTCTACAAATGCCCTTACAAGAAAGGATGCATGATATGCTACAGCTGTGTCACGAGGCAAGATCTGACCCGTGGGTTTTAAAGAATTGGATTCAGGTCTGTTCTGTGAGTGGTGAGCTGACTGAGGGTGGAGCTTCCTACCACTTCGCTGACAGATGAGGAAGTGGTGATGGTGTTATGCTGGATGACTTGTTGCTGGGAGCAAGCTGGAACAGGGCTTGCAGGAGGGCTGCTTTCTGGACCTAGGGGGAAAAAACAAACACATAGACACACACCAATATAGCTCTTCCTTGCGTGGACTTATGGGCTACCAGCAAAATATGACTAGACATGAACTTGAAGTAGAAGGCTCTCATACAATTTCTCCTGGAAGTTAACTTCAAAACTTTATTTTAAACTGGAGTCACAAAGCTATGCCTTCCCAGGTTACAGCTACGAGCAAAGCCATGCTTTCTACATCAGCAAAACGAGTTGATTATGAGTCCTGGTATGTGAATGTCCCCATCTTGTATTTCAAATAGCCATCCATATATCAAATGTGGAAAAATACTCACATGTGGTGGGAGAATCTGTGTTGCTCAATCTAAAAAATTATTTGAAAATAAATTGACCTTCAGTCATGAACCCCCTGTTCTTCCCACCAACCCCTACTCAACTGTCATTTAATCTATCTGCCTTCCAGATGCAGAAATTGGGATCTATAAAAAAGAGATCTATTTTCATGGATGGATAAACTGAGGTCGCATCACTAGCATTTCAGCCCACTGAGTGACATCCTGAGATACCGGATGTGATTCATCCAGTGCCTGTTTCCCAGTCCATGAATTTCTCTGAAAGACTACTAGGCCAATTTTACATGGGTTCCACCAGGCCACCTCCCTACTGTCTGCAGAATTGGAATTGGTAGGATTTTACCAGGGAAATCCTGCCAGCGAGATTTTAGCCAGAAATTATCAGGAGGTGGTAAGCATGGTGATAAATAGGGGTGATGAAAGAGGGTGCCACTGGCAGCCATTCAAAATCTCTAGTATGGGCTCTGCCTGGGGAGGGAATCTATACTTCCCTTTTGTTCTTTAAATAACATCCAACGCAAACTTAGTGGTAAAAAAAAAAAAATGGGACACTAAAAAGAGCAGATAAACCCGTGACTTACTTAAGTATCCTTGTGATTCTTTCTGCATAGCTGTTATTGGGCAGTCTTTATGTGTTAACAACAACTGTTTCAGTTGAGCCACTTCATTTTTCAACATGGACACTTCATTCTAGAAAGAAATAGCAAAACCGGATAGAGAAGGTCAGAGAAAACGAACCCAACAAACCATGTATTTCAAACAACGATGCAACTGGCAAACATTTTGGCTATGTCTGAATGACACTGAGAATATTAATCAGCGAGTTCTACCTGAGAAAGACACCTGGCCATCAATTTGGTCTTTCCCTTTATCAGGGACTTTCGGCAGATGTTGTTGTTGTTAAGTACCGTGGAGTTGGCTCCGACTCATAGTGACCCTGCACAGGGTTTCCAAGGCTGTAAATCTTTACGGGAGCAGAATGCCTCATCTTTCTCCCGCGGAACTGCTGGTAGTTTCGCACTGCTGACCTTGAGGTTGGCAGCCTGACTTGTAACCACTACGCTACCAGAGCTCCTTTCTGCAGATACTGGGTTTTAATTCAAGAGCTGAACAAGGTCAGACTACCCTATGGACTCTGGAGTCACATGACTTAGGTGAGAATCCTAACTTCACATGTATTATATGAATCTAGATAGGTAGTGTAACCCAACTGCGCCCCAGAAACCTCTTCCATCAGAAAAGAATAAAAAGAATACAGGTAGTCTCCAACTTACAACAGAGTTCTGTTCTGATGAGTCCATACGTCAAAACCTCACTTAAAACAGTTTACATTATTGTTGCCTTTTATTATGAGTATCTTTATAAACCACAACATTGATCATCGACATGTAAACACCTCATGAAGATGGTCACATCAACAAATTACTAATGATAAGAAGCTATTAAAAAAACACATCAAGACTGATGGTGGTTCATCCTAACTTGAATATGTCCAAAACCGGAGACCACCTGTGCATACAATTACATGGGGTTGTTGTGAGGATTAAATGAAGTAACAGTTGCAAAACACTTAGAACAGTGCCAGGTACATAGTAAACACTCTATCAACGTAGCCATCATAATAATCATCTTTGCACTGTCTTACAAGAGCTGGTTGGCATAAACTACGAGGAGAGGGTGCATGCCCAGTGATCATTGGGAAGAATTACATGGCAGGACATTAAGGACTGAACTGTGTCACCTCCTCACGCCCCCCATGCCACATTGCATATGTATGTATTAAGTTCTTTGTACCTGTACCCTTGGAGGAGTCCAGGTGTGGTGCTGTGGGTTAATGCGCTGGACTGCAAAGTCCATTTGAACCTCAAAGCCGGAGGTTCAAGCTCACCAGCTGCTCCTTGGAAACTCTGTACAAGGTCGCTATCGGTCGGAATCAACTCAACGACACTTCACAGCAACAGCATACCCTTGGAGGAGACTGAAAAGTCAATTTGAACCTCAAGGTTGAGAGGTCAAGCTCACTAGCTGCTTCTAGGAAACCCTGGACTGGGTCGCTATGTGTCAGAATCAACCCAATGGTGCTTAACAGCAACAACAACAACATATGCTTGGATGTAATCCTGTTTGGAAAAAAGCTTTTCTTTGTTATGCTAATAAGCCATGCCTGAGTTGGGTGGCCCTAAACCAAATCACTTTTGGATCATAAAGAGAGCAGAATGGACACAGAGACACACACTGGAGGAAGACAGACATCAAGGAATGCTGATGAAGGCAGGAGCTCCCAACACTAAGGAGCTCCCCCTAGATCCACACCTGACTTTGGACTGTGAGAAAATGAAAGCCTGGGTTCTCAGGCACTCATCTGTGTTATTCCCTAAAACACATGATTGTTGTCAAATGCCATAGAATCAATTCCAACTCATAGCAACCCTGTGTAGGATTTCTGCAGAGCAACTGGTAGATTTGAGCTGCTGACCTTGGGGCTAATTCAGTGCTTATTCTATAGCACTACACCAACTTCAAAGGAGCTCTCGTAGCGTAGTAGTTACGAATTGGGCTGCTAATCTCATGGTCAGCAGTTTGAAACTACCAGCTGTTTTGTGGGAGAAAGATGAGGCTTTCTGCTTCCGTAAAGATTTATAGCCTCGGAAACCCTGTGCAGGGTCGCTATGAGTCGGAACCGACTCCACGGCACATAACAACAACAACGACAACTTCAAATCGAAATGCCCTCAGGAAAGAAATGGACTCATCTACCATTAAATTTCCCCAAAGAAGTTCCAAATGGGCTACAGTTCAGTGGAGTCTGTCTACCTGCCTGGTGCCCATTTAGCAGGTGCCAGGAAAACCACTATGTACTGGTGGGATGAGGTCAGGCCAGAGAGGCAAGAGGGAATCAAGTTGTGAACCTTGATTGAATTAATCAGTTCATTAACCAGTTTGACTAATTTCTGTGTGGATTATCAGGGTGTCTTGGGTTGCATGTTTTTAAAATTTCTTCCTTAGATTTCTTCCGTAGATTGTTGTTAAGTGCCATTGAGTTGGTTCCAACTCATAGTAACCCAGTGTAGGTGTTCCAGGGAGCAACTGGTGAGTTTGAACCACCGACTTTGTGTTTCAAATCGACCTTGCCGTCCAGTGCTTTATCCTACTGCGCCACACCAGTTAGTGACTCAAATCTCCACTTAGGTAGTAATTCACAAAAGCATGCTCACAGCTTTGTAAAATAATGTCCTTGACACCCACTGTCTAAATATAAATGTGTAATAGATGGCTAACTCCAAAGTGCTTCCACTTGATAAAAGTAAACTGTAAACACAGTGCTTTCTCAAATAAGCCATTTTAAAATTCTGATAAATAATACCCTCTCTCTGGCCAGCGAGCCTGTGTGGCTGCCGTGCATTAGTAAGCCACACGTGGGCGACTTAAAAAAAAAAAGTATGCACACAGAAAAAGGTGTTTGAAAATTGCTGTCATTAAATTGTGGCTTACACTTTCAATATGAACTTGGCTTTTCAGGCATGTATTTATCACCTAGAAAAGTGAGCTTTGGGATCTAAAAGCTGCTCTTTTTGTTTTGTTTTATTTTAAATGTAAATCTAAATTTAAAGAGTAACTTCCATTTCTAAATTCACTTGCAAAACACTGTTAGTGACCATGTACTGAATAACATTAGCAACAAAGCAACAAAAGTATCATCTACAAGTTATTTTCTTTCTCCTCCAAACTTTACAAAATAAAAATGTCTATTTGAGAAATTAGCACTCATGATGAATAAATCACTTTCGGGCAGGAAAATTGCTCTTAAATCTGACAATGTTTATGGAAGGCAAATTGTACCTCCTTCCTCCAAATGAATATGATTGATAAGGAAGCTCTACTTCTAAAGCCAAAAGTGACCCTTTTTCAATTCCAGGCTTAGTGGGACAACTTTATTTTATAGAGCAATTTATTGTAGCCTTAAACAAGACCTTGTTCCTCTCTGTTTTTATGTGCATCTAAATACAGACTTTTTTGTTTTGCCCAATTCTCCCTCTGTTTATAGAAGCAATGAGTTCTGTTCCTATTGCTGGGTAATTTGGCAACTACTGCTATGGTGCTACAGGATGATGAACTGGACTGCAAGGTCAGTTTGATCTGCAAAGTTGGTGGTTCAAACCCACCAGCTTTGAAACCCTAGATAGCATCGCTGTGAGTTGGAGCGAACTCAACAGCATTTAATAGCAACATTGATGCTAGCTGCCCAACAAGATTCATGTAAATTGTGCATGTTAAAAGTATTGAATTGGCAAATATAGTGCTACGTGAGGGGTTTCAAAAAGCTCATGGTTACATGGAATGAAAAGATAATGGAATTTTTCCATGAAGTTTTTGAAACCCCCTCATATATCTTTTTATAAAACAACAGAACCAGCTTGTATAAAAGGAAGTATGTCACTGTAAGATAATCACTGTAACCACAAGGTCAAGGGTTCAAACCCACCAGCTGCGCTTTGGAAACCCTATACAGGAGCCCTCCGTGTTAGAACTGACTCAACGCCACTTAACAACAACAACATATAGAAGGCTATCCCTGGTTAAAAACAAAACAAACAGAACAAAAAGGGCAAAGGTGACTAAGATGTGTTGGTATATATGCATTTTTTAGCCTCAATTAAATGTCATATTGCACTGGAACTAGAGACTTAACATGTCTCTGAAATCATGGCTGCCAGACACCTGCATCCTAACTCAGAAATGTTCAGATGCAGACAAGTGTAGACAATGGTTCTTAGTATATGGAATCAAGTTCCAAGTTTTAATGAACCCAGCTACACTTTTCTACTGTGACTTAGGAAACAGCAAACAAGGAAAGCCTGAAAACCAAAAGCAAATCAAAACCAGTTCTCTTGTTTTCTGATATTTCTGGAAGAAGAAAAAAAACCTTCCTGGTGGCTTGACTATCTTGGGTAAGTTGGATTCAGGCTCCATTTCTTCCTCAACTATGTTTCTTAGCAGTCACACCCTTTCTCGGCATGCGTCAAGCTCCCAGACACTAATTGTTCAATGCCTCTTCCTTAAGAAAACACTGTGAATTCCGTTCTTTGGGGTTCTAAGGTTGCAAGGAGCTAACTGCCTACGATACTTGGCACATCCCAAACTGCTTCATAAATAAATCTTTTGCTTCCGTGAAAGGCCATTATAAAACAGTACCAGTCACTTCTTTAAGCAGCATATGTGGTATTCTGACCTAAAACCAAAGCCCCATACAACAGCTATGATGACTTCGGAGGCAATGTATTAGTAAACCAATATATTGCAGGCATAGAAACCGAAGTTCTGAAATTGGTAAGGGCCTTTAAAAAGGAGGAGTCTGGAGAAAGCTATGACAACCAGCCATGATTTAGACATGTATATGAACATCTTTCTTAATGTAACAAGTCAGTATGTTGTGCATGCTATGTGATTGTGGAAAATGAATACCAGTTAATATCCTTGGTAGAGAATAACAATCAACTTCTTGTTTACATCATGTTCACATAACTATGATGTTAATGGTGAGGTGTATAAAATGTCAGGAAGCAGCTGACTGTTCGTTCATTTTTCAACCATAACATAGCACAAACAACATACTGACACACGACGATGCTAATGGAGTCCTGGTGTGGCGCTGTAGGATAATCACTCAACTGCTGGGTCAGTTTGAACCA